CTGCACCAAATGTTCCATCACCCTCTCGTTAGGTCAACACACAAAAGCTGGAAAAGCCTCGAAACTAAAAAACAAGCGTGAGTATTGACTCACTTCGGTCGTAGCTGCGTTAGTTTTGTAAGCAAACCATTGTGCTTTGATCAAAAATGAATGTTTTCCTGCACTGAAAAAAAAAATCACCAAAATGACTGTTTTCGGACAGCGTGTGGCGTATTTAGAAGGCTTTGAAGCGACGCTTTGTTTTACCACCTGGTGAGAAATGTGTCTGCATCGCTCAGTTCAAAGCCTCCCCGTGGCCACGAGTGCAGGAGATCAGCAGAGTTGACACTCGGCTTCGTCTGGAGCTGAAACATGTGTGATGCTCATCGGCTGTGCAGCCATAAGCTCCAGCCGCCACCATCGGAGGACTGAAGACGCTTTCATGGGTCTGTGCTGACTGAGGTCAGTCAGGCTGCAACAGAGCAGCAATAAAAGACATCCTCTTCATGCAGCGGGGTTATTTAGTAGAACGTTTCTAAGATTGTACTGTTTCAGAACTATTTACAAAGCATTATGCATGTAAACAGAAATATAAATCAAACTATGGCTTGCAACACAATAAATAGCAACAAAATATGGGATTTTTTGCAGGAAACTCCAGAACAAACCAGAAAAGCTAATCTTTCTAATTATTTATATCATATTAATAAATTTGGAAACTTAGAATGAGCTCTTACTGAACCTGACAGGTATGCTGCAAATGTTGCATGAATGGCAGCAGATGTTTGCTTTGATAAACCCAGAACATTGGACCTCCCTCCGACGGGCCTGCGCTTACACGTTTCGCCCCGGCTGGCTACAAAAAGAGCAAGTTGACCTTTGTGTGGTTCACGTGATGCAGCAAAGTTTATGTTGCAAATTTGGCATCGCTTGCAGCTGAATCTGGCAGGAAACTTTTACAAAGTATTGCAATTATTTTTACACAAAAACATCATCTCTTCTAATCCAGACATGTAATTTATTTACAGGCTCGTCTTTTTGGAAACTTCCTTAACCTGTCATTAACAGAAGACTCTCTCCATTACTCATCCCTCATATCAACCAGATGCTGCACGTAGGAATGTATAGATAAATTACAATGAAAAGGATATATTATTGTTGACTAGAAGACAATCATAAACCTTTTGCTGCATATAGCACAGCTGTGTAATTAGCCGGATGCCAGTTTGAGACTCTAATGAAACTATTTCACAGGTGAAGTCAACTAGACGAGTTTTGGATTTACACAAGCGTGTTTTGACACAATTACCAGTAGGTACACACATTCCCTCTCAAAATGTTGGCTGCACAAAGGATTCGTCATTTGCATTTTAAGTGCAATCTGAATTTAACTTTCCCAAATGCTCTTTGTTAAATGCCGACAGCTTCAAGGTCAGCTGGACACAGAAAAAGGAGCTGCTGATGAATGGACTGGTGCCGGGTTTACGGTGCTAGTTTGTCTTGTCAAGCCGACAGCTTACTGACCGGGAAAGCCGTTATTTGTCTTCTCCTAACATTCCGGGACCATTTGGGATCCCCCATTGATGAAGCTATCTGCAGCAGCATGCACACAGCTTTAGGAAAACAGTGTAGAGGATTCTGTAGCATCCACGGGAAAACATCTGGACCGTCAGAGGATGTGATTTCACTCAGTCACCATCTTAAACATCCCTCAAGGCTCGCTGACAAGAGCGATGAGCTCCACTTTCACTCAGCAAGTCAGACCCCGGGTGTCAGAGTTCACCCAGAAAACATGAAAATGGCAGTTCTGCGAACATGAAAAACACGGATGCTAATCCATCTGGTGTGGGGCTTGGGTTTGGTTTAGTAGGCCAGCTATTGTGTCAGCTTGGTTTCGCCATTTTCAGATTTAAGATCAACCAGACCACCGTTTTCTGTTCAGTATTTGGTCTTAATGGCTTCCATTTAGGATTTTCTAATGGAAAACATCAATCCTGACAATCAAATGAACATGCAAGCATTGGATCTGCATTTATTTGACTAATAAGGTTCATCCTCTGAGATTTCTTGGGAACTTTTAGTAAATGTGCACATTTGATTCTTGCACGCTGAGAAAGGAGAAGACCTTGTTAGCTTTTTTAAAGATTAAAACTCAACCTGTTAGATTTCCCTGAGGTCAAATTAACATGTTGTCCATTAAGTAAACCAGTTTAAACTGGTGTTGTGTAGAGAGAGGCTAAACTGGGACCCACTCAATGAGATTTCCATCATTACTGAAAAGCACCAGGGTGTACTAAATCCACATCTAGCTACTCTATAATCTATCTATAATTTGAAGGTATTAATTACTGATAATGTTAAATGTTGCATTAAAAAATAACACAACACTATACTCAGCATGAAGCATGAAAATAGCACAGAACATGCAACTACCTTCTTTTAATTTAGAAAATAATCAAAACTTGTTTTTAACCCACGTCCCACAAGTTCAGAGAACAAAAGTAATGCATAAAAATCCCTAAAAAGTTAAAATCTTGGACGCAATCGAGAAACACGATTGAGAGCAGCACCATGCAGCTCACCTGGTGCTAAGTCCTTATCAGACCAAATCATGACCACATCTGCACTTCATTTCACTTAAGCTACTAAATCCTGTCATTTTATGTTCAGACTAATGGTTTCTTTAAAGGGATTTCCTTGCTAGCACAAACTCTCTCAAATTATTTGCAGTTGACCTCTGAACCCTGATATGAATGAGTGCTCATCTTTCACAAGGAGGCTGGTAACCATGGAAAAGCATCATTAAACAAGCCATTTGATCCCCAACAGTCCTGACCCCCAGCAGGGACGGGATCATATCTGACAGGATCCCTGGGATGATGTCTTCATAATCTAACAGGAATTTGTCTTTTTTGCCCCAAATCTCAGTTTGGCTTAAAGTGAACCTGAATAACAACTCATTAGGAATGCAAACATTACTGGGGGGTGTTTTGGGGTAATAAAAGTCAACCTGCCACACATCAAGCCCACAGTCTGCAGCTTCACAGACACTCCATATAGCAAGGGTTAAAGTGTGACGTCAAAGGACAAAAGCGCGGTGAAGTTATGAGACTATTAATCAGAGCAAAATGCATTTTCTACCCTTTTTTGTTGTTTTAAGGCAAACATTTACAGAGTTTTGTGACACATTATCTCAGCTTCTCTCGTACTTAAATGAAAGACTGTTTAAAAATTGACCAGCAACTGCAGGTAAGATGTTCCAGCGCCTCAAACTGTTCACAGGAACCGTGTTAATTAAAGTCCCATTAGTTGTCACACACACAGGTTTGTTCTCCGCATTTGACCCATCCCCTGGGGGAGCGGTGAGCTGCAGACACAGCCGCGCTCGGGAACCATTTGGTGGTTTAACCCCCCAATCCAACCTGAGTGTCAAGCAGGGAGGCGTTGGGTCCCATTTTTTCAAAGTCTTTGGTCTGACCCGACCAGGAATCGAACCCTGATCTCCCAGTCTCAGGGCGGACACTCTTCCACTAGGCCACTGAGCTGGTTAGATCAGAGGATATTTGAGTTTATCAGCTTAAACTGCAGATTTGGGACTCCCGAAAGACTCAAAAACAAACGCTGTCCCACCTGAGATACTACAGGCACAAGTGTACTCACATGTTTCATGAAATCTGACAGGTGTGAGTGATACTGGGCAGCCTTGTCGGATTTAAAGAGTTTTCAAAGCACTGTTGTCACACCTTGAGGTTGGTTTTAAAAACAGTGATGAACTGACTTCTGGAGCTGCTATAAAATCATCCTTAGGGTCGAGGACGACAACAAGATTGTTTAGTTTAAGTTAAGTAAGGGCAATTCAGAAGGAGCCAGTCTGTATCGTGCTCTCTGATTCTCTAAGCCACCCCGTCGTTATTCCGTGATCAAACTAGAAAACTGTCTTGGACCAGATTTGTCTCTTTGTCACACTGCCGGAAACATAAAGTCCACTCAGGCATGTCAGCAAAACGGGGTGTCGGAAAGATAGTACGGCTGTAAAAAGACAATCTTCAACTGTTTGGCGATAAGAGCTGTGGGCTGGCAGCGAGTGCAGACCCACAAAAACAGATTTTCCCACACAAAGAGTTTGTCACAAAACCTGGGAAACGGGACGACTCTCACATGAATCAACAAACGCAGACTGGACTAAACAACTGGGTCACTCTCTCCATGGTTTGTATAGACACCAGGGACCTGTTGCACGTATACTTTTATCCACAATGGAAATGCAAGTAAAGATATTAATGGTGTTAAACTGATTCTCTTTAAACTGACTGGAACAGACCAGTGTGTTTACCATCTACATCAGCTTGCATTATGGACACTTGCAAGAAAGTTTGAGTCCTGCTGTCAGCTAAGTTGTAAAAATCAGCTTTTTACTGAAGAACCAAAGATGCAAACATGACTTCAGATCATGCAACCTGGTGTGTCCATTCCTGAAAACACACATGCGTAAAAATCAGCCTTGCAGTGTAAGGACAACGCCTCGTGCACAAACAGATTTTACATTATGGGTTTTTATTTTAGACTCTATTAAAATGTCCTTGAAATCCAATAATATTGCATACATGCATTATTAATTTTCAGCTAATGACAGTAACCTCCAAAGAAAATATAGAGAATTGATGGATTTATGCATTATCATGTCTGCAAAAAAAAAAAAGCATGCAGGAAGAAAAAGGGGAATCTATACATGCAGCAGGTTGCATGTGTGCTTGCAATGTGTCAGCCACCATATTCGTTAGGCTGTATTAATACACATATTTAAAAAGAATAGTTAATCCTTTATGCATACACACATGTTAATTGGTTAATGGGGTATAACATTTTAAAAATGTCCAGACTGGTTCAAAACGACCCCAAATTAGGATTCCTTTAGAACCAGTAATTACCTTTCCGGTTACTAACTGACAAGCACCGATACCCGTCATCCTCCTCATCCGGTAGAGTGTGGCACTCCACAGGGAGGCGACCCCCATCAAGAAGTGTCCAGCAACTGTCCCGCAACACTTCGCAGAAACTCTGGCAAGGCAATGCCGGTGGGTGGACCACGGAGCTGCACTTTGGCACCAAGAGGAGGCAGAAAAACCACTCCAAACTATGATGGCATTGAGACTTTAGCAACCAAGTCCAATCACTCAGGAGTGCTTGGACGTCCTCCACACTGCTTTGGTTGAAGAAATTTGGTACTGCAAACATTTTCCCCATCATGGAGGAGCAGAAATTAAGAGGGGCATCAAGCAACACACATTTTGAGGAGTCATTGATTGGTTCTGGTGCCTGTGTACCTACAGCAGTATCTATATTATCGGCTGTTTGACCAATTAAAGTTCCCTGGCTTGTTAATACTACATCATTGGATTTTGTAGGTTGAGTTCTTAAGGGTATCAGCTTAGTGTCTGGTCTGGTAGTGCATGTTTTTGGTTGTATAATAAATGTTTTATGGGCCTGAGTTTGAGTTTTGGTTGTAAGAAGATTCTGGTTAAGAACTGAAACCTGACTAAAAGGTGTTTTAGGAGCAAAATTTGGACTTTGAGCTGGTTTTGTGTTTTCCATGTTAAGACCTTCATCAGCCCAGGTAAACTTCTGTTGTTGCTCACTGTTGTGAGGTTCTGCACCATCTCCACTATCTACACCTCCATGACCAATGGCCTCCATTGCTTCAGATCCAAAGCTTCTACCAACTCCTGTTTTTAAAAAGGACTCAGGGCCTGACAAATGGTTAGACCCAGACTTAATCCTTGTCCTAAGTCTTGATTCTTCTCCTGCGAACATTAAACGGTCAGATTCTCCAGAACCCCTTAAGAAAGATTCACCATTACCAGGATTACTTGTGTGTGAAGAAATCTCCAGAGTGTCCGTTTCTGATGCATACTGAGTTGTTGGTTCTACTGCGGGAGTCAAAGTGGTCAGCTCAGGAGCTTTGGTGGTCTCCTCCAAAGTTTGCTCAACCTTTTGGATTCCATGTTGTTCATCTATGATCTCAGCTCCAGTGACTGCACCACTCTCAAATGGTGGTTCTCCGCTGCCAACCAGACCACCAGACCCTTCGTGCTCCACAGTTGGTGGCAACGTTGTTGTACCAGTCCAGTACCAGAACCAAGCGTCCGAGCAGACCACCCACTGGGCCAGCAAAAACAAAACTCCAAACTGGATCCTCATTATTGGCAACCACTTCCACCTACTCGGTCAGGCTCCCAGGGTGAACGATGACATGTCCAAACAATCCCAACACTCTTTCTGCTTCTGCTGTGTCACCACACAAACTCCAGCAGCCAAAGGGGAGAAGTGGAGAGGAGTGCTTCCATTCAAAAGATGCAAGATGGTGGGGGGAGCGGGAGGGGTGGGCTTCGTATTGGCTGCTCTGGCAATATTTATTCTCCTGACTCCTCCTACTTTTGTTCCAGCAGTGAAAAGCTATCTCTCCTGCTGCTGATACCTCAGAATTACAGCAGCCCTGCTTCTCAATGCACCACTGATGCTTGAGAGGGGCAATTTGCTCCCCTTGACCAATCGTCTTTGTTAAACTATGATCATTAGAAATCTACAGTTGTAGGCTCTTGCAGATTTACATTTTCAACAAAAAAGACATTAAATGTCATGAAAACAGTTTTAAAAAAAAGAACTGTGCAAAGGTTCTGCTGCAATAATTTACCTGCAATGTGCTGAAATGTCCAAAACACTAACAACAACTTTATTATTGTTTTGTTATGCAAGACCTCAGGGAAACATTAGAATCAATTATACCACAGAGGAGTTGTCAAACAAAAGCTCGTCACTATACAAAAGAAAATCCTACATTCCCAACATGCATTGTTTAATCTGGTTTAGGGGCTGTTTCAGCACCCTGTGGTTAAATTGTAATCCAGACCTCGGTTTCTTGTCCTGACTGGCTTTCCTCTAGTGGAGTAGACACCTTTGGCTACTAATGGGAGCTCAGGCATAAAAGGAAAAAAGGGCTTGTGTCTTTCTTGTAGGATTGGGGTTTAGAATAAAAGGAAGGCGTGTGTTGTGTGTGTAACCTCGCTTTGCGATAGAAGGGATCTGAAAAGTTGTGTGTTTGAAAGATTTCAAAGCTTTCAGGCGCTTATGCAGAGATGGAGGAAAGCTTAATGCTAAAGGGAAAACTTGAACTGTTCAGGGATCTGTTAATATTTCTCAGATGGCCAAAGAAGAAGGAACCCCCTTAAGCAATGGCTGATATGTTTATTACAGCAACTCCGCACGAAATAAATGTATGAAAAGGCTCACTATTTGGCAAGAAACAGGCGACTTTTCTCTCTCTTCTCTTAATTATTGAGTTATAAAGGATTACAATTTAGTTAATAATTTATCTATACACTACTAGCCATTTATAAGGGAGCATTAAAGAGGTACCAACCTTTAACTAGAACACAAAGAAAGCCAATTCAACAATCACAGCTAGCCAAGAGGCACAAATCTGCATGTGGACCCGTCTCCAGACCGACGGAAGCAACGCACAACCACGCACTTCCTCATTCTAAAACTGCCAAAAATGGATATTTTCATTTTAACAAAGAGAATAAGTAATTTTGTTATTTAGAGTAAAAAAAAACATTCTCAGGGTTTTAACAAATCTGTAAAAGAACAATGTTCAGAAATGTCAAAGTAACTATTTCTATCAAAAATTGGAAATGTTTATTTGGACACTCTCACATAATGTTGGAGTGTGTGTTGACGTCATTGATTGTACATAAAAGATGGACAAAACCTCTGCGCCGTCAGCTGTAGGTTTCTGAAGAGCTAAAGCCAAATGGGCGGTTCCAACCATCGCCATCTTGGCCGCGTCACATCACTCCCGGAAAATACAAAAATGGAGTTGAGGCTGGGGCTGTGAGGGTGGGGGCAGATGACTGACACCCATCAAACTCTGATGTAGCTACGAGCTAACTGAGCTAATCAAATCTAAAGGAGGTTGGCGGTGGCTTTTGGTAAAAATGGTAAATAACCTGTATTTGTATAGCACCTTCCTTAGGGTTCCTCAACTCCCCAAGGCGTTTCACAACACAATCAGTCATTCACCCATTCACGCACACATTCACACGCTGGTGGGGATGAGCTACATTGTAGCCACAGATGCCCTGGGGGACACTGACAGAGGCGAGGCATGCCAAACACCATCAGCAGACAAGAAGGGTTAAGTGTCTTACCCAAGGACACAACAGCAGCATTCTCTGGTTGGAGCTGGGATTGAACCCACAACCTTCTGACAACTCGCTCTACCTCCTGAGTTACTGCTGTCCCTTTTAACCACTGTGGTTGAGGGACTCTGCTACCCTCTGAGGCTGAGGCCTTCCCTGGAGCAAGCAGGGGAGCAAGCCGCTAGCGCTGTCGGCTCATCTGACACCTGTCGATCAATAGGACATGCCTCTAATTACTTTTAATATCAAGCTTTAATTACATTAAAACAGATGAGTTACAAAAACATCCACCCCTCTTAGAGTGGTCATGAATGTAAACTAGATCAATTAAACCTAAAATGGTTTTTGAACCAGACTGTAAGCGTGTTTATTTCTGCTGTGAAGTTGGCATTTTTAACATGGGAGTCAGTGGGAACGTGCTCCTTTCTGGAGCCATCCCCTAGTGGATGAGGGTGGAACAGCATTTTATTATTTGTAAGTTCTGCACTGTTTCTATTTTAGCAGGCGGAGCTGGTTAAGATAAAATCGTTAACCAGGTTGGAGCCAGCTGGCTGAAGCGGCCAGCCTGAGTCGGATCATCTCTGGATTTCAACTATTTCACTAATATTAATCTGGCTTGCTGAACTGGGATGATGAAACGTGCGGTTTTACGACCCGGTGCACTGAAATTGCTCGTCTCAGGGGGATCCATCATACCAGAAATAACTAAATACACAGAAAATGACTAAAGGCTGCATTTTATCAGCTACATACCCCAACATCTTGTTTCTATGTTGTATTCTAAATAAAAAATAAACTATTTATGGAAATTTTAGCTGATAATCAGTGGATTTGTTCAAGTACGTAACAAGATAACTGACTTTGCAGCAGCACTGAACAGCTGAGGCCAATTTCACTTGATTAATAAAGTCTAATGAGGAAATTTTTACTCTAGTGACACTTTCCCACCCAAGTCATCAGCCCAGATTTAAACAAAAACTCAACTGTTCTAGGCTCTTCTTTTTTGATGTGTGAACTCTAATCAGTGTGATTTCCGCTGGTAACAAAGCTGTGTTTGTTCTCGTCCCAAATGAGATTCGAATCACACTGGAAACAGAGGAAAACCAGGATGAATCACAGGGAGTTTTCCACGGATGACAAACTACTAGTCTGTATTTACTGGTGACTGTCCACTGCGCATGCACTCTCGTCATGAATGCCTTGAGAATCATTTGCTCTAAAAGACTGTATTAACAAAAAAATTAAATTAAAAAACATTTTAGTGCTTCTAATATTAAGGTGATAAAATAATGCAAGCAAAATGAAATGTGTTGGAATTCCAGCGATTCATCGTGTCTCCTGCTACCGTCTGAAGCGAGGCAGAATATCAACACGGCCTGTTTCAAAAAGCCGCGTCGGAGGGTTAATTACGGTTTAAGGGGTGCAAAAGTTTCTAGTGTATGGTTAAGACTAAAAGAACAATGAAAAATTAATGCATTTCTTCTGATTGGTCTTTTTGGGCCAAAAAACAATAAGACTCAGTAAATATAAATTCACATCCATATTTCAAATGTTTCCTTTAGCTGTGATCACATTCTAGTTCCTTCAAGTCAAATTCTGCTTTATACAGTTGTGTCACCCTCTAAACAGACAATCTCCTTTAAACTTAAAGACGGTCATCTAACCCTAACCCTAACCCTCTAAACAGACAATCTCCTTTAAACTTAAAGACGGTCATCTAACCCTAACCGATGAGTTTTTATTTTTGTTTCATTAGAATGACAGAAGAAAAAAACAGTTTAATAGAAAGACGACCATGGCATGTTCACACATTTCAGTAGCATCTGTGAAGTCCTACGATGTTTGAAAAGGAGAAGAACAAAAATTCCAGGCCTCCTTGTGTCTGTCCTCACTAAACCCGAACAAAAGGATGAAACCCTACACCGTGAGGCTGAGACCATCAATGGGAGGTGAATGAGTGACTAATTATAACACCAACAAAACCTCCTCAACCTAGTCCACAAGAGGCTGACGGCATCCAGTCATTTCTCTCTGCACAGGGGAACTTTATGACACGATGAGTGCCTTTCGGGTGTCAGACTTCCCATTTTATCCCTTCTAAATTTAGCGTCAAAGTTAGTTATCCAACACAACTGGCAAAGAGAGGAAGTGTGCTTTTAACTTTCTAATAATTCCAACCAATCCAAATCGGTTTGCAGCTGAGAAGGGAAGTGAAAGGCTGCACGTTTGTTACTCCGAGGTGTAACTGCAACAGAGTCAGGACAGTGAAAACACATCGCAAAACAAGAAAAGTAAATATTTCCTCTTGAGCCGCTGCAGATTACCGAGGGCAGCTAGCAAGGAGACCTTAAGGCGGACACCCTCACGTCACACGATGTTATTTCAGCAGGTGGAGTTGTTTTAAGCTCCCTCTGTGAGTTTTTGTGTAGCGACTGTCTGAGGAGTTAAAGAGGCATGGAGCTCTGAGGCTTTGGGATTACACGACATTGATGACTTCTTCAGTCGGTGCTGAAGACTACGCCTGGTTAGCGTGCATGTGCAAACACACAAACTCTGCTGCTGCCATAGCTGAGAGCAGAGTAAACAAAAA